TTGGTAACAAAGTAGCAATAACGAAACTGTCCAAAGACTGTTAAGCTTATTCAAAAGCTATTACCAAGGCAGGAACTACGCGCTTCATTCAAAAGACTCACACTGTCTTAAGAAAAACATGAAAAACAATGTAGTTGTCCATAGTTGATGCATTTGGATCTGTAAATCAGTATCCGTGATAATTTTTAAACATTCTGCAAAGAAAACTAACGAGCTGGGGGTGGGTAGAAAACGAAGACCTAAGACCTAAGACCTAAAAACGAAGACCCCCCTCAAAATCACTTATAAATATCTAGAAACGGATATCTCGACCTTAGATGTGTAAGAAACAACAAGATCTTCAATTATACAAATTTCGACCAGGGTCTTCGTTTTCTACATAATCCCCCCGGCGTGTAGAAAACGAAGACCCCCCTCAAAATCACTTGGAAACGGCTGGAAACTGCTTTTAACGACTTCTAGACACTAAAGGAGTGTAAGAAACAACACGGCTCCTCACGATGTTCAATTATACAAAATTTCGACCAGGGTCTTCGTCTGAGTTTTCTTCCGAATCATCCTTTGCTGTAAAGTGTTCGAAGTCATGTCTTCTGCCGTGATCGCCATCAAAATGTCCCATTCCATGACATTAAAATCGTCAGAAGCTGTGTTGTTTCTTACACTCCGATTAGTTTAGTGTCTAGAAGTCGTTAAAAGCAGTTTCCAGCCGTTTCCAAGTGAAACCGAGGGGGGTCTTCGTTTTCTACACACCGGGGGGATCGTATAGAAAACGAAGACCCTGGTCGAAATTTTGTATAATTGAAGATCTTGTTGTTTCTTACACATTTAAGGTCGAGATACCCGTTTCTAGATATTTATATGTGATTTTGAGGGGGGTCTTCGTTTTGAGGTCTTAGGTCTAAGGTCTTCGTTTTCTACTCACCCAAAGAGCTGGGCCCAGCGTGATACAACATTGCAGAAAAACGTTACATTCACGGACTAAAGAAAATCGCTTAGTTATTCAGATCCAGAAGGCACTTTGGAGAAACGTAAGACCTTTATTTAGCCGCAATAAAAAGCTTTACGCTTAAAAAGAGGTCAAAGAAAATGCTCTTGTATCAGAGGGCAAATCCTGCCGACGAGAAACAAAAACCACAGTAAATCGATATCTGTGCCATGACCTCTCAGTGTGAAACAGGAGGCTAAAATCACATTTGCCCAGTGAAAATTTAGAACCTTGCAGAGTATAATCTACACAGCAGAGGAAAAAAATTTAAGGGAACAAGTAGCATTTTGCGTGGGGTAAAAGTCGTGCATGCACTCCAAGTTCGCTCATTGCAGGGGCTTATTAAATTAGAAACTGAACTAGCAAGACGAACCGCCTGTCGCGCACTTAGTTAAGAAGCTTAAATCGGAAAAGCTTTCTCCTTACTCAAGGGGAAATCTTAAGGATTCAAATGCTTGCGCTAGTACAACGCTGTCTTGACCTCCGTCAACCAGCAAGGTCTTATTTCTTGAAGCGCCAAAGACCGGCACCGTATTAATTCTCTTACCGGAGATCAACGACTTTTTGCAAAATCAACAATGAGGCTCGCGCTCCATTTCACTCTGTTTTCAGACGGAGCAAAACACCGCTCATTTCCTGTTAATTTTCCCAGAAGTTACTCACGCGCGAACGCGAAATTGATTGACAGCTAACTATCTTAACGAGAGATGATCGGCAGGATAATTACAAGAGGGTGGAATAGCGGCCTCAAATGGTTGTCTGCAGGTTCTCTCCCCCCTTTCCCTTCCCTTTCCACGCTGTTTTTTTCCCAAACAGGGAGCCTGTTCACAGACCTCTAGATCGCTTTCTTCCAGCGCAGCAGCTAAACATAAACATCCAAACAAATGTTTCGTGGCCTTCTAGGATGAAGAAAATCTTAATCACTGTAAAGATCATCAATGTGAGTGTCCCAAAGATTTGGTTTTAGGAAATTTCATTACTCTACTTCGGTCTTCTTCAAAAGAAAAAATTGTGATAGCTAGAATTTTGTTAAAAATATATTAAAATCATTTTTTTAAGAAGTTCTTCTTCAATTCTAATTAGGGCATGGGCATTTCAGTGGCAGACTATACTAATTCAAACATATTCTCCCCATATGGGCCTGCAGCAGCATTGGCCATGAAGACTGAACTTGTGTGCGAAATTCTCGCAGTGTAAATTGCGTCGTCCGAGTCTTCTTTTAATTACCCTTCTCCGAAATTTAGACCTCTAAAAAGGCCTGTAAAACAAAGGGAAGTATAGAAACGAAAAGGCAATCTTTATATAGAAGCTGCAAAATTTACAGCGCTGAAATGAGAAAAACATGCTTTGTCGAAACACGCAAAGCCTTCTGGGTTAAATTGGTTTAATGATTATTTAAAACACAACTGTCAGCCCTGTATATGTTAGATTTTTTACTGAGGTAAATTTTTGTTTTTTGCTTCTTTTTTTTGTTTTCAAATTCATTGGAATTATATTACCATGCGCCAAAACAAAGGAAAAACAAAACTAAACTGATATAAATGAACAATTTACTGCAAAAGTTCCAAGAAATCAACGACTTCTGGAAAAAATCAGTGGAAACTATAAATAGGTTGATGTCCTGAGAATCCACGAATTTTGAATCCGGTGCATTACCTATCAGGATTATTGATGCGGGGTCACTAATCCCGCGGTACTGCCTTTTTTGTGGATAATTCTAGTTTTTATTCATGTTTCTTTTCTTTTACCAACTGAAGTTATACTTTTTTTCGGTTTGCCAAACTGCAAAAATTTCTTTGAGGCTATATATTACAGCAAGGGTAGTGCGGACATCCAGTTATTGCATTAGATACCTAGGATTAGATAGTAGGAGTAATCGGAGCTTAGGAGAGTGCGTTCGATATGTTTGTTAGGCGTACGGGCGGGTAACAGTTGAGCGGGAAGATTGGATGGTTCTTGCGATAGATAAATATGATTATGGCATAATTTGAACGTAAGGGTTGCGTACAACCAAACCTCTATGTGTATCATTATAAGAAGATTTTGATATATCGTATAAAAAAAAATGCTTGTAATCGGAGGAGACAGTTGCCAGAGTGCGTCTGGCGTGTAAATAGAACATTTTAACTTTTGTTTTACTGGGGCGATTACTTGTCGCAGTTGTTCGAAGGCCGATTAGCGCTTAACCCGGGATTCTTTTTCTTTCTTCAAAAACATTTCTTAGGATAATTTTCTCTGTTATTATTAAGAGCATCCAATCATCAACTTGTTGACAAAGTGAATTAAACTGAATTTAGTTTTTTAAAAGCTTCCACATCTGAATTCAAATTTCGCACTAACCCTGTCAAAGCCTTCAGTGGAATGTGTGTGCGGCTCACATCAATAACTTTTGCAGAAATTTGGTCAAGCGTTTTGATTTCAGTGACTCGAGAGTGGCGCTACTGTGGGCTGGTTTGTAAGTTTTTCCTAATAAATAACATAGAGTTAAAGTGTTCGTTTGTCTGGTGCCTAAAATATCACAAGTCATGATCAAATTGCGCCGCCGAGCTTCAAATCTCAGTAGATTTACTTTGTGGCACAACGACGGCCGAGCTACACAACTCGGTAAAATTAATGTGTGGCCTGCCAACGGCTGCCGAGCTACACAACTCAGTAGATTTACTTTGTGACACAAAGGTAGCCGAACTAAACCCGGTTTGATGCATGCACCAGGAATCGCACACATTTTCCAAAGACAGTGACGAACCATGCTGAAAAATGCGAAGGCTTAATCCAAATTAAAGTAAAATTTAACAGCAAACTTCTGAAAGATGAACGCTTTGGAAGATTCAGCAAACACAGATCGATGTACGCTTTACGAAGATTCAGCAAAAGATGAATGCTTTACGAAGACAGAAAATCAGACTTCAGCAAACCTTTGAAAGATGAACGTCGAGGACACACGAAACGCCACGTGAGTTAGCGCGTCAAAGTGAGACAAAACGTAAGCAAGCACTTCAAAGGGGGGCAAATGTGTGTCGACAACGACGAAAATGCAATCTCAAAATATTCTCCCTTAATTGCACAGGACACCCAATAAGGCACAGAACTACAAACACAAATTAGGGGTTGCGTTCTCGTACCTCGAACGCAATAAATAGTACTGTGCAAACATTCTGCCCATGACTTGATTTGAATGGGTACACCGGACGACTTCGTCCGCACGTTTTTGAAATTCCATCGACAAGTACTTTTGCCATGGCAAGAAGAGTGTTTATAACATAGTCTTAAGATTAGATTTCAGGTATCTTACGAGGGTCCCAGTGGAATATGGACCAAGAGCGAACCGCGGGTATTGCGTGCATAATTATTTACAGTAGTTTGCAGATGGAGTTTTGTCATGACTCAGTTTCCTGATAGTTGTTCTGTCAATTAACAAAGATCAGTATCTGGGCCGAGTTGTTCAAAGCTGGGTTAAGATAACCCCGGGTTAGTGCGAGATTTGAATTCAGATTTGAAAGCTTAAAAAGCATTTCAGTTTTAATTCTTTTTGTCTACAAGTTGATTATTGGAAGCTCTAGAAATAAGGGAGAAAATTATCCGAGAAAATGCTTTTGAACGCAAGAAAAAGAAACCCGGGTTAAATTTAACCCCGGGTTAAGCGCTAATCGGCCTTCGAACAACTGGGCCCTGAACTTAAAAAGCAGATTTGTAAAAAGAAGATGATATAAAAATGACAATTTTATGTTTTCTACTTTTAGAGCAGTAGATTTTTCCCATTAAACTTGCTCTATATTAATTTCCGGTACTGAACAAGACTTACAAAGATTAAAGATCGTAGACTGAGTTAGCAATGTATTTAAGTTTGGATTGCAACTGTTACAAAGTTATTTGTATTCTTTTTATACCGTAGGTTTATAGTGAAACTGTTGGGTGCTTAAAACACTGTGGTAGCGCTAGCACTGGTCAAAGCGCCAGAACCAGTCCGCAAAGCACAACCAGCCACAAATATAGAGCCAGTAAAGGAATCGATGAAATGAATCTTCGGGAAATAACAAAATTGATGGACGTTCTTGGCGTAACGGACGAAGGGGTGAAGACCCTAGGCGAGGCGAAGGAGCGAATAAGAAAAGAGGTTCAACTGGCAGAAAAGACGTTCAACTGCTGGTCATCAAGAGAGGTACGATGTTAATCAGTAAAATTTCATAGCCGTAACGATTGAGTTTGACCGGGGTTCACTGTCTTTCAAAAAAGAGCGATATTTCGTGATAAAATGTACTTTTTCAAAGGAAAACCCCGTTCCATATGTTTCCCTTATCTAATGTAACACAAAAATAGAAAAAACAAGTACCTCCTTCGTCGAGGGACCTTGGCACTGAATCGTACATCAGTTAAGGGTCGTTGAGACTGACAATGGCAAGGCATCAGTGTATCTAAATACTCAAAAACTTATTTAATTAATAACTTATTGGCCATATATGGTTAGGAATTTTTGTTGTTTGTAATTTAGTTATTTGGAAATAGTCGATATACCGTTTAAAAACATGTGTGTATGTATGTATGTATGTATGTACGACTCGGGCTTAACGTGAAGCCTTATAGTAAAGACAAAATTGGAAGCCTAAAAAAAACCTCACTGGCAGAGGTCAAATTTGCAGATTAATAGGGTATGCTTCCTTTTGTCACGCAGTACAACCCATTGGTGCCACACATTATCAAGACAAAACCGTTTCTAAATAGAGATATATAAAACAAGAATTTAGATATATAAAAACAAACGGTTTTGTCACGTGGTCGCTAACAGCTTTACTTTTTTAGGCCTTCTCCGTTTTATCCGAAGCTAAAGAAGAAGATGCCAGGAAAAGACGGCTCTTACTTGATTTTTACACCAAAGCCGAAGCTTTTTTGGGAAGAATGGATGAACAGATGATAACGTTACTTCAAAAGCATACAGATCATGTGAAAGAGAATATGAAACTGCATATAAAGCAACTGAAAAAGACGGAGTACTTTCTTCTCGTAGCAGGTAAATGATAAACCTCAAAAAAAAAAAAAGAAAAGAAAAAGACCGGATACGTATGAAGTGAAAACTCAAAAAAAATTTCTGAGTTCCACGGAAGGGAATATAACCCATGACCTTACGTGCACTGGTCGGATGCTCTATTTGTTCACTAAAGGTTCTTACAACACAGCTTAGTTTTTAGTTCCAGCCTTTTGGGCTCTGAATTGATCCAAAACCTTTTGATGAGGATTACTAGTCAAAGAAGGATAAATATCCACTGGAACGTTTTTGAAGCCTTGGATAAACTCGTTATGCTTGATTTTCGAAAATCATTAAGTAAGCAACGAGTGCTGATTGTTTATTGAAGCATTACAAAGAATCTCGATATGGGAACTTGCGAAAGTGTTGCTCATTAGTCATTTTTGCCTTCCTCTCATTTGAAGAAGCTTAAGAAAGTGATCGATTGAACCACCTTGTTTTAGAGTTCGGCTGGTAATCTTCGGTCCGGGGTTCTTTCCACTTTGCCAGACCGACCAGCCAGAGACCAGGGAAACTAACCAATGGGAAACGAAACGAAGTCACGTTGTTCGATTACAAAAAATTTCCGAGTGGACCGAAGCCTTCTACGTACGTTTCGACCTAAATTTCGATTAATTCATTGTGAACAGGGAGAAAAAGACGAGAATTTTTTTAAAATGGAGGTCCAACCGGACGGCCCCGTATCCAGTTCCAGCTGAACCCTAAATTCAAAAACAGGTTTCATCCGAGAATTCTTGGACGTGTATTTGAATAAGGAGATCCAGATTGTTAACCATCTACAAAACGTTTCCGCAAAATTCGGTTGGAAAACAAACGGAACGGCTGAAAAGATATAGCAGTCCTGTTTTCCAGGCCGGAACGTCGAAAACGGAAGTTATATAGTGTTCCATTCTTCGGAGCTCCTTATAGTACCCGTTTTAGACCTCTGCGGCTGTTCTCCGTAAAATGGGATGGATTTGTACAATGGTAAACGCGATTCCCGAACAGAATTTACCAGTCTTGAATTTTGTTTACCGTTTGCCCAAGGCGTGAACCAATTTCCCAATGGAATGTAACCCTCGTTTTGGTTTATTTACAGGTGAGACGTCATCTGGTAAAAGCAGCTTGATCAATCTCATTCTTGGAGAGGAGATTCTACCTTACTCCCTTCTTAGCACAACGTCCACAATATGTGAACTGAAGTTTGGAGAGGAACGCAGGCTGGTGGTGCATTTTAAAGACAAGGATCCTGAAACAGGACTCAAAACTAAGGAAATTTCCCTTGAGCAGCCAACAGGATCTTTTGATCAAAGCTTCCTCGATCAGATCTCCCCATACATTTATGTCAAGACTGACCGCGAAAAAGGCTCAATTGTCAAAAAGATCGAGCTCTTATGGCCGCACAACGTTTTGGAGGTAGATCGAGCTCATTTGGTCGCACAATACTCTGTAGGTAGACTGATAGCAGAGCTTCCGTGCGCGCCAAGCACGCGCAGCGTAGCCCCATTGCTATACCAATTGGAAACGTATGAATGCAAAAAAAATTTGGTTATGACGTCAGCGTACGCCTGCCCGTGAATACAGTCAAAGGGGGAGGGAGAGGAGAGACGCTGTAAGGGAGGGGAATTTAATCACTTTAGAGGCAAGCAAAACTATGAAAAATGAACTTTTAAGGGTTTGCTTTTAGCTTGGTCACACTTTGGTCGCGCTCCAGGACTAGTCTAGTCTCAGACTGGTCAAAATTGTGACGACAGAATTCATGCGTAAAAACTAATGCAGCTTCTAGAAAATTGTTTACCGACAAATGAAGCTTTGAGTAAGTTTTAGGTCTGTTTGCGGGATAATTTTTTTTTCTTAAATCACCCAGCCCACTCCCTCAAAAGGTAAATGGAGGGCTCCTAAATTTAAGAATAGGTACAGGCTTAAAGTTTATAATTTTTAATATAAAAATTGTGCTTATGAACGGAAGCTTCGCTGTTAGGCTTGGCAAAATCTATATATTAGTTCCAGCGGTAGATCAAGGAAATTACGTAATAATTCTTTGTTTACTTATTTAAGGGAATATATAAAAAAGTTTTCACGACAATTCTCATTACTTTAGGTGAATGAGTTTAATTCTGATAGCTCTGTTACCGAACATTTCCGGGAATTCTTTGTGGAAGATATAATTATCAAGATTTGTTTTACAAATTTTGTAATATTTTTAAAATTTTGGTTATGAATCATAGGCAGGCTTAGTAATCATCGATAGCCCTGGTGTTGGAGAATCTGAAGAGATGGACGACATGGTAATCCAGTATCTGCCTGAAGTCTTTGCTTTTATGTATGTCATTAACAGTTCAAACGCTGGTGGAATTCAAAAAGACAGAGTGAGTATTTTGATCAATTTCGCTCGATTGTACGCATGCGTTAAGTACAGAAGTTGGTGAGGGGAGGGGAGGCTTCCCACACGCCCCCGCACTCCATTCCATATGCATGTAATTGAAATTTACCTTCTGAGCGTCAGATTTCACTTGTAGTTCACGTACTTTTGATGACGTTTGTTGTTTTTACCCACGTACGTATCATACCATCCTAGGAGACCCAGGGGCAGATAGTTGCTATTTCAAGTTCACGTTGATTTATTTATTTTTGTTCCCTTTTCCTATTTGAAATTCGGATAGTTTTATTCTCTGGAACATAGAGTTTCAACAAGCGCGAGGAAATCTTTTCTGCAGTAGTTGAAAGAATGTTTTTGCCGGGTGGATTTAAACTTGAAAAAGATGAAACTAATGATATACAGACACACTTATAATTCATGACACGGCAATGTGCTTACATTCTCGTCTCGACCGAAATTTGCCTACATCACCGGTTTTATCTCTTTCGAAGTTTAGGTCCAGTGCTGAGGGGGGAATTTCCTCTATAGGCACTTACACTCCTCGTTCCTGCAGTTCTCAGAGTTCTGCCATGCTCTTGGCATTAAAATCGCTCTTATTCTTCTGCTTAGACATTTCCACAACGGAACTATTCGAGTTTCAAACAGCGAAAGGAATGGAATATATATCAATAAACGGGAACATGAAATAGTTACTCCTAGTTCTCAATTCGTACAAGTACAGTATGTGGGAGAGAGCGGATGGGGCTTGTTTACAACAAAGGTCATCAAAAGTCACGTGAAACTACACGTGAAATCTGACGCTCAGAAGGTGAATATTCTTCATTAGTTCTACTTGGAACTATATGACTTTTTTTCTGTGAGAAAGTGCAAATATATTTTCTAGCCTCAGACGGAGCAAGTTTTGCAAATAGCATTAGGAATACCCAGTTAGTTTGATATGTTGAGATTGTACAAAATTTCCTCAATTAAAGACGGTAATGGCTAAAGCCAAATCAAGAAAAAGATAGACGGCAAGATTTAAGGCGTGGCAATATAAAATGGAAGACGTTTCGTTTCCGGGTAGTTATTTTGATAGTGGTACCGATTTTGACCGACTAAAGTAATGATGCTCTGCTGTTCAAAAATGAGCGAATTTTCTGGTATGGCAAAATACATGCACTGTAATTTTCAGGGAGTTATAATAACTCCTCTAGTGGGGCTAATTTAACTCCTTACAGTGGAGTTATTTTTCGTGGAGTTATTTTAACTCCAAAAAGGAGTTTAAAGAACTCTTTTTCAGGAGTAAAAGTGACCCCAGATATTGAGGAGTTAAAATAACCCCAAAAAAGGAGTTATCCTCTACCTAAAATTTTTACTCCACTTTCAGAGTTAAATTAACTCCAAAAAGAGTAAAAACAACCCCTGTAAGGAGTACAAGTAACCCCATTTCGGAGTAATTTTAACTCCAAGACTGGGAGTAAAAAGAACTCTTTTTCAGGAGTAAAAATGACCCCAAATTCGGAGTTAAATTAGGAGTTAAAATAACCCCAAAAAAGGGGTTATCCTGTACCTAAAATTTTTACTCCTTTTTTGGAGTTATAATAACTCCCTAAAAATTACGGTGTGGAGAATGCGCCATAGAGCTGCAAAGTGAGGTAGTTTTCCGATGAGCATTCGCTACAAATGTTTGTCAGGACAAGGTAGATTTAATGCAATAACGAAAACCTTGCCACCAGCTATAGAGGCTGACGAAAATATGTTCACATAATGTTTGCCTTACAGCTTGAAAAACTGCTGCGAAGAGCGAGAAGCGTGTTAATCGGGGTTCCAAAGGAAGGAAAAGAAGAAGGCGGAATATCGCTTGACATACTGGAAGATTTGTTATCCAAATGCGCTTTGTTTGTGTGCAACAAGTGGGATGTAGTGCAAGAAGTTGAGTTGGTCAAGGATGATGTTGTAAAAAAACTGAAAAGAGCCTGGTCCTGCATTGATCCCGAATCACAAATCATCTACATGTCAACCACAAGAGCTACTACCGCTCAAAACCTTGGTGTTATCACCAGAGACTTTTCCTTTTTAATGGATGGAATGAGATCGGTCATCTTACAGAGCATTGAAGCTAACTTGGAACTCCATTGGAAGTAAGCGTTAATCTAGACTACAAACACATTTACTCCTCGTTGTAACTTTCTAATTCGGGTAACCTGACGCTGGCCGGATCCTTTCCATTTTTCTATTCTTTAATAATGATTGATGATCTGAGTGCAAGAGGGGCAGCTATGTGGAAATATGTAAATGAGACCACAATTTCTGGGGTGGTTTGTAAAGTTCAAGAGAGCTGAATATTCTGCAAGTGGTAGACGATCTCTCGCAGAATGGCTGACTTAAAAAATAGCTTTTACCTGTTAATTTTTTGAGCTAAAAATAAAACAATCAACACAATCACATTTAACTTCTTGCGAGATTAAGGGAGATCTCAAAGGTTATTTCTGTCGGCGTAGAAGGTAAAAAGTTTTCAAAAAGACGGCCACATGATGTTCTACTAGTTTTGTTATTTTGGCTAGGCGCGCTCGAATTTAAAATACTGAAATTTCTATTTTTCCGTTGCCTTAATATTTTCCTCGACAATTTCCCCCGATTTTCAGTACATAAACCTTTAAAAAGAAAAACAAACAGCCAACGAGCGGGGACACCAGTTTTCCTGGTTTATTTTTTACAAAAAGCGAAGGTAAACAACCAGTCTGTTAACACTAAAAATTCCTTAAACAGCGATGCCATATTTTTCGTCTAATACTTCAAAGTTGGCGATTGAGGTTTCTTTCGCAGAGAGCCTCCGCTTGCGTACCCCGTTCAGAGAAGTCATTCCCGGCTAAACTTTCAAATGAAACCAGTTTTAAGATAGACAGTATTTTGATTTGCACCCGTTTGTTGGTAAATCAAAAGGCACCTTGTTAGCGGTCAACAACTTGAAGAGGGATTCAACTCCGCGATACACTCACTTTCCGTAAATAAAGCAAATCCTGAGAAGATGTGAACAACCATATGAATTTTATCAATTTCCATGGCACATATTAAGGCATATTTTCCTACCATAAGACCATAAAACAATAAAAAAGACAGCAAAATTGATTCTTCTCTCCGCCGACGACGGATCATTCACGAAAACAACCACGCCAGGAATAAGCGCTTTCAACTTCCGACGTTTCCGACAGCCAATCAGATCTTGTGGCATTGTTCTAACAGCCAATCAGCGTTACGGCCAAAATCTGGCCGTAACGAGCACAAACGTGAATGAGTTTAGATCAGCCCCAATTTTAGCGGTAGCCGTTAGAGAGAATGTATGAGAGCCGCTCAAATTGGGCCTGATCTCAGGTTATAAGATGTTAGAACCGACGTGCTTGTTTGGGGTGTCAAAGAGCATAAAAGGGAGAAACATCGCATCGTTTTATTTGTAATAAATTGTAATATATGCAATTTTCATTAATCAAGTAGTCCACAATTCATTGAAAATTGGAGCTGACAAGTTTCAGTTTTCGGGAGTGGCTTAACAGAGTAGGAAGGAGCCTGACACTAAGATCAGTGTTAGTTAATTTGAAATACTTTAACAGGACAGGGTGCTAAGTAATATCACTGCACGAAATATCGCCTTTGCCAATAGCCTTTTCCGCAGGGTCTCAGGTGGTAAAGACTAGTTTTACTTATGCCTTTCATATATTTTCTAAGTTGGCTAACACCGTTTTTCCATTTCCTCAAAGGTACGTTTTTTTTCTTTGCGATTACTTCTTAGCATAAACAAATAAACGTGCTTTTTTGTTTCAGTTGGCTTTACACACTTCTTTCAAGGATTGTCGTTCAGGCAAAACTGTTTGTGGTAAATGCTTCCAGAGGCAACGAGGAAATTAACAGGAAAATGAAGAAGATTATTCCCCGCTTGGATGCAATTGAAAAAAATCAAAAGAAAGCGATAAAGAATCTGCGCAGATCTTTCAACCAACAAGTTAATGAAGTTGTGCAGCAACTCCACGATTACCTCTCTTCAGAAATCGCAATTGTGCAATTTACATCACCGTCGCCGGGCAGGTTTCCACATCTAGATAACACTATGTCCTGGAAAGAAGTGAACGAGGAAATCACCAACGTACTGTCTAGTCGGTTTCACGAGATTGTAGAGCGATGGGAGGAAGAAAATCAGGTGTTTGTAAATGCTCGCCTTTTTCTCATGCAAAAGTTTCAGGATTGCTACGAAGGTGTTGAATTTGAGCTACAAAATCTCCAAAGCGATGCCACGGGTGTTCATGGTGGCGTTGGCATTTCAGAAAAGAAAACCTTTCGATTTCACTTTCCCATCACCCGAAAGGCGTTGATGCAGATGAGGATCGCTGTCGTCGAGGCGCTTCGCTTCATCGCAGACTTGATCGACGAAATGATCGATTCTGCGTTGGGTTGCTCTTTGGAAGATTATTTTGTAATTGACTTCGAACTTTTTATGACAGAAACTTGCATAAATTTCCTCGCTACCAGAAGTAAGAACAAGGAGCTTAGAAAGTTTGTGCTAGACAAATTAAGAGACGCTAAGCTCTATCTTGATCAAATTGAAGAATGTCTTCCAGCACTGATAGCGGCGGAAAGAGAACTATACGAACAATTGTCATGTAAACTGCCGGAGGAAACTCGTTCTAAGAAAAAAACAAAAGATCGCTACCAGCCAATATTGGTTGAGGGGTCACAACTAAGAGATCGGCTAGCACTATTTGGCATAATAGATGTTTGTGTAGTCAAAATAGACCCAGAAGAATTAGACTGGAAAGAAGAAATGTCATCCCTCCTTGGCAGTGGGGCATTTTCTGCAGTTTACAAAGGAACAATGAGAAGAAGGGAAGAAATTACGACTGTGGCTTTGAAGGTGTGCAACGAGGAGCTTAACGCCGACAATGCCAGCAAAATCATGCAGGAGATGAAAATTTTGAGGCAGGTTGAAATTATTCGTTTTGTGTTGTTACGTCCTTAATCGTTCTTGTATGTCGCACAGAGTCAGATTAGTGTGTTGTGAGCGGGACCGTGATTATACAATTGGTATATGATTTAATGGAGCCGATGTAGAAGGCCTAAATGTAATAAACGGTCCTAAATGTAATAAAGTCCTAAATGCAATAACAATTTGCCCTAAATGTAATAAACTCTTAAGCTGCCAATTACAGTTATTACTCGAATACGCCCCGCCCTCAAATAAACGCCGCATTTGGGGCGTGCGGCGCTAATTAACTCCCCAACGCCCCAAATGCGGCGCTTATTTGAGGGCGGGGCTTATTCGAGTAATTACTGTAATTGGCAGCTTAAGAGTTTATTGCATTTAGGGCAAATTGTTGTTACATTTAGGACTTTATTACATTTAGGACAAAATGTTACTACATTTAGGACTTTATTACATTTAGGACCGTTTATTACATTTAGGCCTTCAACAGCCGGAACCAGTTGCATGCGGAATTGCATACATTTTAGGCATCCTACTGCACTGATGAACAGTTACGACATGTAAATGATTATATTTTTTAACAACCACTATAATTTGCAGTCTGTCCACTTTGAATTGATGACTAGAACGTCTAACTACAGAGCAAAGGCAGTACATTCTCCTCAGTTACTTTACTGCGCTTTTCACAAACATGCGAACTCTAACTTTTAAAAGCCGCCTTCGCAATTGCGTTTTTCCCTGCCGTCAATCATAATTACGACCACAAGCAACGAACCCTGAAACACAAAAACACACAAAACGGATCGAAATCCACCAATCACAAATCACAAACCTTGACCTTTTGAACACGTTAAAGTAAAGTCTTGTTTCCTAAGAGGTCCGTTAAGATGATTGACGGCAGCGAAAAACGCAATCGTCAGTTGGTTTTTGAACTTCAGAATTCGAATGTTTGTGAAAAGCGCAGTAAACCCCAAGTGTTGCCTGGCTGGGAATCGAGCTTAGACCTCTACCATTCCAAAGGCTAATTTAACCAGCCAATTTGTCTTAATAGAGGATGTTAGCATCAACAACGAGTACGAGTACGAGAACGACTTCAAGCCGTACTCGTACTCGAAGTCGTTTTCTCAGCTTTCTATGTTAGCGATGACACCGAGTTCGAGTTTATAGAAAATAAAATTATGGGATTCCGCATGACTGGGCGCCAAATTTGAGTCGAGGTAGCGCTTCCACAACAATTTCGAAAACAAAAAATGACTCTAAAAAACGTTCAAGACTGTTTGTTACTCAATTACCAGCTATCGATAGAGACCACAGGCCTCACGAAATTGTCATTATGTGGCGAAAAATATCCCAGCAGAAGAAGATATGAATGAAGAGTACTTAGCTCCTTATCCAGTGTGGTTCTTGTGTTGAATTTGATGAGTATTAGCGTGTTTTGAGAGCCCGACGGTCCATCAGCCAGTTTTCAAAGGAAAATTGATATTTCGCGGTAACTCGAAGGATGGTTAGTCGCGGTCTTAAAACACGCTAAAACCCATCAAATTCAACACAACAACCACACTGGATAAAGAAGTAAGTATTCTTTATTGATATCTTCGACTGTTGGGATATTTTCGACCAAATAATGGCAATTTTCGAGTTATTTCGTGAGCCTGTGAGGCCTGTGGAGAGACATGAAACTTTCCCGGGTAAATGCAAATTTACTCTGTGTAGGAAATATCGCGTTTGAATTGCTTTTCTTCGACTTCAAAAGCAGTATTTTACATAAAACATAATATAAGGAATGTTCAAGATGATAAAGACAGGCTAGAAACGAAAAGAAACTGCATTAAAACGATCGGAATTTACCTTTGAAAACCAGCCCTTCCCAGTCGTTCTACCCACTTCGAGTTTTTGGTGAGAACTCGTCGTAGTGCAACTTGACAGGAAGACTTGAAAACGTGGAGATGCGCAGAACGGATGCGCAGTACGCAAAATCGCTGATCTCTTTCTAGAAATGAGCTATCCACGGCGATTATACCGCATACTGCACTTTATTTTGTTTGATTTATGAAAACGGAAGTGAGTATTTTAAATACTCAATAGCGACTGCTTGCTTTGAGGGTACGAATTGTGTGAAAACGTCTCTAATTCCTCCAAAATTATATACTTTATATGGCATGGCACTTGGCAACATTGCAAAGAAGTAATAGAAATTTCTAAGCTTAATTACAACACTGATTACAACTGTCATGAATAATGACAGGAGGTGGAGAATTCCTTTCCGTACTGTGCTTCGTGTAGAATTTACATATCAAACACGAGAGGCAGTGTTTCAGAGTGTTTCATCTAGGGATTAAACCTTACAACGTGCAGGGGAGTAATATATTTTTGAGACACTTTTGGAGCGTTCATATAACCTTTCAATTACGGAAACGTCTCTGTAGGAGACGTCAAGACCATCAGATATAAATCACGTCAATATAATCTGCATGATTTCCTTTGAATTATTATAAATGAGTCAAGAAAATAGATTGAGATATAAATCATATTTGTACTGCATTTGAATTCCTGTTTTTTTGAAAGGCTATAAAAGTTGAAAAAGTGGTAATTAAGTGATACCCATGATGCCACCATTTTTTTTTTTTATCTATGTAAAGAAATCATTGGGCAGCCTTTAAAAAGCACATCAGAGCTGTGCTGTGTTTCCCTTTGCCTTAACCGTTTTTCTTTGTAATAACAAGATTTTGTACAATGTACGCAGGTTGGCAATAAAACGTACCTATGTATTATTGAAAACAAAGTTGAAGAACCTGAGATTAATAATTGCACCTGTATTTCTTCTGTTCACCAGAGTACTTAAACACCCTCACATCGTTCACTTTTATGGCATATCTCTTGTTATGAGCACCTCGAGAATGATTTTTGTCATGGAGAAGTGCAAAGGTAACTTAAAGAACTACATCTTCAGAGAACTAAAGTCAGCTGCTGGTAGATCTGAAAATCCTACTAACGTCGGACACTTATGCCGTTACGCAAAACAGATAACCGACGGTTTGGCTTTCATTCACGCAATGGAAGTGGTGCACAGGGACCTAAAGCTGGAAAATATCTTGGTATGGAGATAGAATATTTATCAGGATAGTAAATATAATGTCGTTTGTTCGTGTGTGCAAATTGAAGCGGGGCAAGGTAATCTTAGAATGACGTCTTCTTCGTGAATGTAATGTCAAGACGTGGGACATAGTGAGAATCCTAATGTCTCAAATTTCAGCAACGGTGGTTTTTTTTAATTCACTTTTTTTATTACACTTTATTGACAATAACAATAGTAGCAAGAAAAAAAAGTACAACAGAAAAAAAAGAGGTAGTACAGTACTGCAATTTACGAGTTGTAACATGTCATTTGTTCAATTAAGGCTGGTGTTGCACATAACACAAAATAAAAGAAAATTGAAAAACTGCAGAAAGAAATTTTCCCCTTCTGCAAATAAACTGGTGACCGATATCAAGGTGTTAGAAAAGTGGGCTGTGAAGTTAGTCTGTCGAGTAACACTTGATTCTTGGGTGATCTGACTTTTGCGATTTGCTAGGTTTTTCCACGATTTAGCACAAAAAGTGTTACCGGAAAAAAAATTAACAACTCACGTATAAAGCGGACATGGATCTGACAATCAATTACCTCAAATGTAGGTTGAGTTTGTTTTACTGGGTTGGTCGAAACGTTGAGTGTGGGAAAAAGAGACTCAGAAGATGGCGCATGAATGTGAGCTAGCCGTAATTACAGCAATCAACCGCACAGGGACAAGCAGTTTGAATGGAAATGAGCGCGAACATTCTTTCCCAGTGAGAAAACCATTAAGACTGGAGCAAACGCAAAAATACCAAAACTGATTTAAAAAAGAGACAATCCCCGAAAAAGTTAAACCCTCTCATTGAGTTTGAGTCTGATTTAACGTACGTTTCGTATTAAACACCTCTCTCCCACTAAAATGAGTATTCGGGAACCAGTTTTGGTGAAGTGTGAGGATGGGCGATCCCTAGCTGGAGGTTAAGTTAAGGTACATTTTCGGCGAAAAGAGACCAGTAAATCCTACAGTTTACTGTTCTCTAAAAAAACGAGAATCTGTTGCCCAGCCCGCTGCCATGCAACACGCAAGTTATCATTTTTTTTGTAATTAATTAGCTTTAATTAATTTTTTCACACTTAAATAGTGAATACAAAACAAAAACACTTCAAAACGTTAACAAATTACTTTAAAAAACACACTACAAAACATTACTTTAAAAAACACACTACACTACATATCCAAACATATCCTTATGCAAGGAAAGTAGTGTATAAGGCACCGGTTACGCCCGTTTTTTGTGGATTTAATTAACTTTTTGAGTGGCATAAATTACTACTGATAGGATGAATGACATCTTTTTCGCAAATAGTCAGGTTATATAGAGTGTCAGAAAGGCCAAACGCAGGCCAGAAAGGCCATAACCAGGCCTGAAAGGCCAAAACCAGGCCAAAAGAGACAAAAGGAGACAAACGGGCCATTTCTGGTCATGTGTTTTTTTTTTCTCGTACGCACGCGTGGGTGTCGCGCGTCGCTAGTTACCCAGCAGCTTTCACTGGAATTATCATCTTTATGGTAATCACAAATAACAGTGCCTAACTAAAACGTTTTGTTCTTTCTTTAGTAACTGATATTTCAAATTTTGGATTTGTTATTTATTGCAGAAGTTTACTATTATTGTTATTATGATCAAGTCATCAATAAAACACACTTAAAGTTTGGTTGTTTACAGATTTTATTGAAATGCAACGATACAAGGGTCCAGGAAATAAAAAATTCTGTAACATTCATAGCAGGTCTAGTCTTGATCTTCGATAAGCGAAAATTCTTACTCAATCGATTGTACGAGAAGCAGCCCATTCCACAATTTCCAATATTGAAAGCTGCTGGGTAACTAGCGACGCGCGACACCCAAGCGTGCGTACGAGAAAAAAAAAGACACATGACTAGAAATGGCCCGTTTGTCTCTTTTGGCCTGGTTTTGGCCTTTCAGGCCTCGTTATGGCCTTTCTGGCCTGTGTTTGGCCTTTCTGACACTCTATATAACCTGACTATTTGCGAAAAAGATGTCATTTGTGTTCATCCATCGAACTGTCAACATGGTTTACAAGAGAGTTTGCAGAAACTGTCCTATTTCATCGTGTGGGGGCGAAGTACCTTGTCAGATTAGCTAACCATCTCGCGAATGTTCATCAGTTAGACCACATCCAGCGAAGACAGTATTTACAAGAGGCGAAACTGCAACCTAAAGTTAAAGTCTTCGTTTACGAAAGTGAAGCGGGTAATTCCGGAAAAAATCACTATCGCAATCCAGTAGAGACACAAAAAACGGTGTACGAACTGTCAAGATCACGAAGAACTGAAGCCTGTTTTGAAGCAAAAGCTAAAAGAGCGACTACCAAGTAGAAGACATAGCGCAAGAAACAAAGAAAGTCGAACTCTTGGCTTAGAGGCCATCGGAAAATTGTGTAGACACGGAAGGATTATTGATTATTCCTTGAAATAGAGCGGAAAAAACTGATTTGTAATAGTCAGTCAAAGGATTAATTTTCATTCCTTTTCCTTTCAAATCGCTGTGTATTTGACTCTTTTTTTGTTATTGGTTTTTAATAAAGTTTTTAAAACGGTATCTGTCTTGTGGTTTTATTGCTAGCCATTATTAGTCGCGTGTTTTAATTGATCCTTGTTAAGTTATTTAAAATTGTAGAGATGAACTGATTTGAATTCAAGTTTGGGTGTGTGAACTCGCATAGTTAACTGACTAACGGCGCGTGAATTCACAAGACCATAAGCTCATCAAGCGCTGAGACTTCAATAGTTAGTCGTTTCCTCGAGATACAACGGAGAAAACGCTTTCGCAATGGTGAGTCAAAATTGAAGTAGAGAGTTTTCAGCTCCAATCTGTGTATGTGTGTGTGTGTTTTGTTTATATATCCGATTTTTAGCGCTAAATAAGACATGGGTTGCTAGGCGATCGCACCTCTTATTCCATTTCATTTCATTAGGTACTAGAATGGAATATATTTAAGAACGAAAAGAGTTAGGGTTTACTTTAGAACCACCTGTTGTTTTCTATAGAATTTTTATACCCTGTGCAATACTTTCTACAGAGTCAAGTAAACAAAGATTTACATTTTTGCTTGATAGGCAGTTTTTTGCTTCGCTGTGCTTCGACCTCATTTTCATTATTTGCCCGAAAAAATTAGTACGATTTCGCATTCGCCTAACCTCCTTTCTCCTTTTGTACAGAGTCAAGTAAACGAAGATTGACATTTTTGCTTGATAGGCAGTTTTTCTCTTCGCTGCGCATCAACCTCATTTTCATGTTTTGCCCGAAAAAAATTAGTACGATTCCGCATTCGCCTAACCTCCTTTCTCCTTTTTTCCTTTTTTGAAGTAAAGATTTTTTAGTTAACCTCTGTTTCTTGGTTTTGTTTAGAACTGATTTTTAGTGAAAATAATTTTAATGATTAAAGATTTTTCATTTAATATAATCTGCAAAGATGGCACGTTCAAAATTTACCAATCGAAGACTATAGCAAATTGCTGATTATATCAAAAAATCACTTTTCTATTTATAGATTATGATCTCAACATTTTTTATGACGTCAACCTCTTGGGTATTCTGACGTCACTTGTTCCTTGCCAGCTAAAAATAAAGTATGACATCATCCTATCTTGATGGAATGCATGACGTCATCAGCAGTAATTTTTGCCACTCAAAAAGTTAATTAAATCCACAAAAAACCGGTGTAACCGGTGCCTTATACACTACTAAGGAAGTTATTATAACATATACATTTACATATCTACTTATGGCCTTGGCTCCAACGAGTGTCCTGTAGCTCAATGGTAGAGTGTCTGGATTAGTAACCAGACTGTCATAGGTTAGACTCCCAATACAATTACGTAGTTATTACGCTCTTGTTATAACATAATATATTGTCCCATTTAAGTTGTCTGAAGAAAACACAGTAAAGATTGCTGACGTGGGCCAGGCCAAAGCAGAAATAGACATCACCGGCACTCTTGCAGGAACACCTGTTTATATGGCACCGGAAGTGTTTCATTCCCGAGTGTACGACTCCAAGGCAGACATCTACAGCCTGGGGCTGATAATGTGGGAGATGTGGTACGGACAGCGGGTCTTTGCTGACGCTCCATTAACAACATTTCAAGATTTCTTTAAGTGGGTGGATGAAGGTAACCGTCCAGTTGACAGGCGGGGTTGCAAGATGCCTCCATCCTTCTGGGAACAGTTGATGAAACAGTGTTGGGACGGGAATCCAGATAAACGCCCCTCTGCCAAAGAATGTAACGAAAGAATAGTCAGTTCTGTAAGATCTGAAACTTATGTTATAATATAGAATAAGTAGTAACTAGCATATGTCACAGCTTGTGACAAAATTCCAGATGTGTCAGAAAAAGGATTCAAAAATTAGAGGCTTCTCTGTTGTCACTCTCAAAAGAGGCAGGCAATCATAAACCAAATATAAATGTGATCAAAATGAATTTTGATCAGATCTTTGATAATCCACTAGAAAAAACAGACACAAACAAATAAAAACAAGGATACTTAGTTAGTGAAGGAAAATTTACGTTTATGCAGAAAGCCTTCAATTTTCCAAAAGTTAACTACCAAGAAAAAAGTTATAGAATATGCAGATGTTAACTTATCGTACTTGTAACGCTGTGAGTTGACTTGACTTTTGTATCATCATGGGGATTACCGTGTAGCACGACATTTTTGCAGGAGTTTATTTTTGCAGATTGGCGATTTCTTGTGTTTTGTGGGAACTGATTTTTGCGATTTTCAGAAAGCACCCAGTACCAGCATTGATAATATTTTCGTTTTTATTGAGTACGTGCAATAGAAATACATATTTTCAAACAATAAACCAGTATTTCATTGTATACCATTTTGTTTCTGAATGAAACAATGCGGGGCAAGCATTCCCGCGGTAAATTGTCATAGTTTAGTGTTTATCTTTTTGTTATTTTTTTTTTTCAGTAGTTTTTTATGTTTCTTTTCCTTTTAGAAAAATGCAAAAAAATTAAATGCAAAAATTGGCTTGATCGCATAAAACTATACCGCTTTGGTAGCTTGTGCAAGGAATTAAAAGCTAAAGAGACAATCAATTATGAGTTAAACTGTTTTGTACACAAGAGCGTTTAAATAGTCTAAGGTAGTCTAAGGATAAGGTTCTATGTTTCCATAATGTGGTGTTTCATTGGAAATTCATGACCCATGAAAGTAGTCCAATTTAATTCATGGGCCATGAAACACCTTTAACTTTGTTTTCCACGAAAATTTAATGGCCACAGATGAGGTCATGAAAAATTATTTTGCAAGATTCATTGGCCATGAAATGATGTTCATGGTATCTTCAAGTGATTTTCATGGGATTTTCACAAATCTCAGGGTTCCTAAACATGGACCTAAAGCGAACTGCGTAGCCTGTATATTTATAGTTTTTCTCTTGTCTTTTTCCTGATTGTTGTTCAGTAACAAAAGATAAGTAGCAAAGACAATTTAAAAAGTAGAAAAGTAAAAAGTAGATGAGTTTTAAAAAAAGACGAACAGGAGAGTAAATGGTCTCCTGTGACGAATCATTTGTTTCCTATTTTTAGAGCAATAGACTGTTTGCAATCAAACTAGCTCTACATTGATTTCGGTAATTTACAAAGACTGTGTAGCGAGGCATTAAATTTTGAATGGAAACTTTAGTTGTTCCAGATTACTTTAATCAAAAAACCTAAAAATGGCCTTTTACCAACTTTTTCACCTGATTTTACATGAAATAGACAGATTTGGTTGTTTTATGCTGAAAAGTGGATTTTTTTCAAAAAGCTTGGTACTCTGCTTAACCCATTCGCTCCTGGAGATTTTGCCGAAAAACGCGTTTTGAAGCTAGTCGAGTGGTTTTCTGGTCACTGTCGTGCTATAAAGAGCTAAAACTTACCACAAACCGGTTTACAGGTCGTACACTTGGCGGCCTTCTGATCCAGATGCAAAATATCAGCTTACGAAGTTCGGGCATGCGCAGAAAGCAAAATTTCAGTGACACAGCAGTCTTGACTTTTACTTTTCGCTTTCTCTCCTCCCTTCTTTTTTCGCTTTTCTTGCCTCATTTTTTT